GTATTTGATCGTTTGATACTCTTATGTATCGTTTGGTGTTAGGTTATTGGTCTTTAAACAACCCATTTGTAATAAATACTTATAGTTTATCTTAAGTAATAATAGGTAGTAAGAAGTTTTTACGGAGATTCATTATTTTATAAACACGGTTATTGATTCTTATATAGAGTGGCATAATGAGGCGATAAAAAACCAGAATAAAAATATTTATTTAGAATCCAATGTCTATCTCAAAAATGAAATAATTATTATTTGAAGAAAAAACAACTAAGATAAACTATATTCATATGTGACCAACTTTTGAAAATTGTGATTTGAAAACATTTCATATAAATTATTACAATGACGTAGATTCTCATCAGTGTTATATTCAAAGAGATTTTTTTATAAAACTAATTATTATTCAACCCAAATAATTTATATTTGACTTGTTTCTTTGGAGTTTGGACTTGCAATACGTAGGTATACTAATTTACTATGCACTATACTTTATTATATAGTATAATAATTATTAATTAATATCAACCATAATATATATTATGTTTTAGACGTTATCTAGCCATAAGACATAATCATTGATTTCATTATTTTCCATACTATAATATGTATCAATAATTGTACTGCTAAATATAGAGATTGGTCTAAACATTATTTAAGGGAAAAATTGGAATATTTATGTGGGACATAATATTATTACAATATAATGGAATATGACCGTAATTATGTCATTTGTTGAAAACACTATTTATAGTTTAAATTCTTGACAACTCAGATGAACAGAAAAAATCAACTGGTGAACAATTTCCTAAAACTGATATAAGGGATTGAAAGCGGTGATTATGTATTTTTCAAACACTTACAAATTATTCGCAATGTCTATGAGATCGACTTTCCCATATTTTTTTATTTTTCTCTAAAGATTTAAATATGACAGTTTCTTGTTTTCTAATTATTTATGATTTAGGAAATACAAGGTCAATAAAATAGAAAAGCTGATCTCAAGCATAGACTTGATTTCAAATTCAAATCTGTTTTCAGAATTATAATTGCTCGGTCGGTATTAGACCGATCGTTACGTTGGAAATAAAACACATCTATATTCCTATGTTATGCCTGTGTTATTACTGTGTTGGATAAAGACAAATGATTACCGCTTTCACGCACGTCTTTCGCGCTTTAATTAAAACACCGCCACTGTGATTGTCACTTATCACAACATAGATCAACGAATTACCAATAATTAATAATGTTTTTTATATTAAATTATACTTAACTATAATACTATATTAGTATTAGAAATGAAAATGGAGGGGAGGGGTTTAATTTATTTTAAGTGCTTATACCCGTCATAGACAAATATACCGAAAAATATAAATTTCCAGGTAAGTACAAACTCCACCAATAATCATTGAATAGTTAAAACTTCGGCATAATAATTAAGATACATTTTTTTAAATTTAATTCGTTTTGCAATGTACTATATATTTATTATTTATATCTCATAAAATATAAATATCCGTATAAACCATTACACAATCACATTTGCTTATATACAAATAAGATAAGTCATAAAACGTATAGGATATAAGTACATAGAATTAAATTAAAATAAAATAATGAATTACATTAAAATAACATATTTATAATTATTTGATGAGAAAGTACATTAGGTACACATAAATACACGATTGTCCTAAAATTACAAAACTTATAGATAGATTGCACATATATAACTGTATAAGTAAAATACGTAAATTCTCAATTTGTTTCCTACGCGTAAAACTTCAAAGTGATTTTTTTGACATAAATAACACTCATTGTTACTAAACACTTTTGTGCTTCACATAAAATGGTTTATTTAGTGTGAGATAATTATTTAAATCAGTTAATAATTCAAAAATTTAGTTTTATGGGTAAGGCAGACGGCAGTACTTCAAATTATGTTCAAATATAGGTTTATATATATATTTTTTTTTTTAAAGAACTAGCACGATAGAGATATTCTAAATGCGTCCTTCAAGCTTTAGCCCGGGTTCTATTTTTTTTACTACCTAAATTATTTAAATAAATAAAATCTTAAAAAAAAAATTTAGAACTAACTGATTGAATACATTCCATGTGAATACAGAATAATTCACCAGGCATGAATGCATGATCAATGATCATAGGCCATTGCTCGTTCTTACTTTTCCTTGATAAATTAAATTGTTATAATTCTTTATAGTTTGCTAGAAGTGCTTAAACATACTGAAGTAATAAACCATAAATGCCATATTTTCAAATACATACTTCATTTGTTACCTAATGTAAACTCGCATTATTTATTGTAAATTATGAGGAAATGATTTTTTTTTTTTTAATGTTGATCAATATAAATCGAGTCATTTGTATTTGAACTATTTTGTTTGAGCCGAATGTCCAATTAACAAAATATTATCAGTATCGCCATTATGGGTAATGGGTAATGGGTAATTTTTGGTTAGGTTAATTTTTGGTGGGTATCTACGTATATTATATTAAACATTGATTTTTAATGTGACATATTATCGAATTACGCATGAATTTCACACTTAAGCGTCTACTACTGTTTCACCACCATCAAATCTTAATGATTAACTATAGAAAAAAATATAAGTATCTATTAAAACGTATCGTCAACTTGTTTTTGGACTCATATATGCCAAATTTAATTCTGATGTCAAAGTGAATGTTCAAAACTCAAAATCTATAGTGAAATAATTGAATGCTATCTGGTTTTTTCACCTATTTGTCAATAGGCATATAGTATTACATTATATTATGCAGTTTACACAACGTTGTAAAAACAAAAATCAAGGAATAAAAAAATCGAAAACCGATTAACAAAGAAATCTTATACTTACGCCTAAGGAAAGTGCAGTTGGGAGCGGTTTGTCAACATTTTTAAGATTGCATCATCATTATAATATTGCCTACTGGCCTTGTGGGTCTCCTTGTTTTAGCTATATTATGTTATCTAATAATCAAAAATAAAAAATATTAAACCGTTATATTATGTTTTTGTGTTTTTTTAATTTAAATCTGAGCTGACCAATTTATAAAGTTAATAATATTCATGTAAATGTTTTGAAACCTGAATTTCGAATTTCTATCAAATATTCAAATGGTTAGGCATGCTATATATTTAGAAATTAGTAGCTTCACGTTTATCTATGTTATATTTATATACAGTATACAATCAGACGTGTTCGATAACAAACACGGCGAGACACCAGTGCCGTATCTAGGATTGTGTTGTCCTAGTCACACATTTCTTTACTGCATCTGGGCATCCTTTACCTCCCTCTTGCGTAGCTATAAATTCCTTTGGATGATGTTTTTGTTCTTTGACCTCCCCTTAAAGACTAACATTTCTTCTTCATATTGTTATTCTTCTTTACAGCGTCGAATAATTCTAAACTTACTTTGTTCTCTATAAAAGCTTTTGGTTGAAGGTAACATTGCCTAACCCGAATTTTTAGCCTTAATCTTCCTTTACTCAAACTCATAATACATGGTCTAGAAAAATGTTTCATTTAAACCTACAAGTTACTGATTACGAAAGTAACACTCCCTATAACAGAATTATGCAAACTATTAGCGAACTGGAAATTGAAGTGTTCAACTTACCAAACTTAGTCATCCAAATTATATTGTAAATTTTTAATTTACTTTAACTTACTTTACCTACTTAACTCATAATTACACTCATTTATATACTTTATACCATTGTTATATCATAATTTATTGTATTTTAATATCATGTATTCACGAATGATTGTAATATTATTCAGTATTCATATTATCTGCAACAGGTTGGGGCCTCACCCGTTTAATACCAAATAAATAAATATTCTTCTACACGTGCTACCAAATGCAAGGTTTCATATAGTATAATCATAATTTACTGTTTAAAATTGTTATTTTTCCTTAAAATCTTGTATTAGATCTTAACGAGACTTCTGATCAGGAGTCTTACGTAAACTAAGTGCATTAAAGAATGATATATTTATTCATATATTTATAGATAGTTCAGATAGTTGATCATCTAATCGAGTATTGAAATTAAGCGTCTGCCGTAGATCTAGGTACGCCACGGAGACCTTAGAGACAAAATGTGCATAACATTTTTGGGTATAATGTGGCGATACCAGTCAAAATTATATTCCCCCCTTCCCCGCCAACATTTTTTTGTAAATTTATGTTTTAACAATACAATTTTCTAAATAAATAAAAACGTTGTGTGGAAGACAGTTTTAAGTCGTTCTTTTCTAGGGCCATCATCACTTATCACCCTCTCCTCATTCTCCGCCAAGGAAAAAAAAGAAAAATATAACAAAATAAGCTACGCTAGATGACTTTAATAGACCTCAAAAACAGTTTCCGTACATCACCATATGAATTATACACTTTTATTATACACCTGAACATCTGATAACCGTTAGCCCGGCGACGACGTGACCCCGAACTAAATCGGTGAGGCATTCTAAAAAGTACTTGCAACATATATTTACCTACTTATAACAGGCCTACTACTACAGCAGCAGCAGCAGCAGCAGCAATAATATTTTCTAGCGGTTTTCGTTTCTTCCGAAGCGCGCGCGGTGTCAAAATCGCGTGGCCGGTCGCAGTTTCCCCCGCACCCGCTCCCGATACCGGTGAAGAGCGATCGACCGTCATAATAAAATAATTTAGTTTTTTTACACACACGCACTGCGCGCATACACAATGGCGATAGGAATATAGTAATAATAATAATAATAATATAATGTCAGGTGGATATAGTATATCGATGTACACGCCGCCGGGCCGTCGCGGTCGGCTGGAGCGTCGTCGCGCCAAGCGCATGCAAGCGTCGGCGTCCGACATTCTCGTCCGGAAAACCAGTTCCCCTGGGTTACCACCACCCAGGTAACCGTCGAACCGCGTACAAGCGTATAATTCACTTGTAAAAAACGACCGTGTGTGTATGTACAACACGCTCGCACGATGCATTATTATTATTGTTGTTATTACCATCATCGTCATCATCGCTTAGTCGTCGTTGTCGTCGTGTGTGCGGTTTTGTTCTGCGCGCGTTTCCTCCAGCAGTCGGTCGCGCGTGTTGCACAGAAATCACGACTCTCGGTGCTTTTTTTTGTCCGCGTGCACCGCGACCACGGTGCCTAAAATATCTTCTGGTCGCGTACAAAACCGTATACCAGCGGTAACCATCATCTTATACCTATATAGTATTATTTACCGATTGTGACTTATACCCAGCTTACCAGCTATTACCTGCCTTTATAAAATTATTGCACGTATAGAAGCACCTGTCCGCGATCACACAGCTGTAGTATACCGCAGCCTTCTACACTTGCGGAAAATCAATCTTTACGAACACTTCGCACTGCAGTGGTTAGGTTAACGCGGTAAGACATCATGTACCTATTACCAATATACCTATGTCGTTTTCGACAGCGTAAAGATGATATCGTATGATATTATAATGTTATTATATTGTATCTAACCGCGCGAAATCTAAATACAATACACCTACCTTTTTTACGTCATAGGTACCTATATATTATTATACGCGTCAAATTATGTTTTTTTTTCTACAGACGACATGGAAAGACAACGGGCAGAGTCGACGTTCACCATCATTTCAAAGGTCAAGAATTCGCCCAACGTGAACACAGTGGTGAAATGGCTAACGTCCAACAAGCTACTCATATTCATTTTGGTATCGGTCGTATTCGGAGTAATCCTGGGTGAGTATACATGTTTAAACATAGATCGTGTATCCGCAAAAGCTGGGTACGTTCTATAACTCAACTACCCACATTAATCTGTACCGCAAACATATTTTATAATTCAGGCTGCAAGAGATTGATCCAATAGTCTAGTTTCGTGCCTCACAAATAGAGTTAAAAAATATGCATAAGGTACTGAGTAACATGGGTAACTTAATTAATAACTTAACAGTGTTTCCTGTTTTTAACACACGGTGTACGACGGTCAGAAATAATATCACAGTCGTTGTTCCAATATTGGAAAGGTACCTACTTAAATTGCAGACTGCGGTAAATATACTAAGATAAACCGTATACTATCTGTCGACAATTTACTACGGTTTTATTTTGTTAGCACCCGATCACAGAGTTTTAACGACAAACAGCACTTACAAGTTATAACTATATCGGCTATATACATATACATAACTCGTTGTCACTTTTCTATATAGCTTCAGTCCAGATTGAGGAGACAAATCTAAATTTAGTACAGTTGTTGTTACCACGTGCCAACTACCTGCTATACATAATATCATATTAGGTATGTGTACAACGTACTTGTATTTTCTCAAATTCCAGTATAAACTTGATAAATAAAAAACATCTATGCAGTTATTATTTATTAGATTTATTGATTAATCTTTAAATTATACAAAATACACAAAATATTTAAATAATGTATTTTAAATCAACTTAACACATTGAACACAATGTAATAATATAAGTATTCGATTAGATAAAATAGATTTCAATAGTCTATACTAATAATTGATTGAAATTAGTAAATACATTTTGTTTATATTTTATCACACAAATCCTGTTTATAAATATAATTTTTATTATTCAAAAAAATTCTAAAGTCGAAGTATTTAAAAGTACCATTTTGCATAATATTAACTATAGCGATAAGGTATTGTCGTAGTTATTGGATCGAGTGCATTAAACTTACCTTTGCCCAAACAAATACCGTAATAGTTTTAATCTATAGAATACGACGTAGATGTAGAACCTACAATATGCAATAATGAAATATTTAAAATTATCAATTCTCACGAAGAAACGAAATTACTTCAAACCAACTATAGACGGACAAATATTCACCAAAAGTCTTTGCTCATGACTATGTAATAGTGTTATAGTGTTATTTACAAATGAAAATAATTGGAGCAATAAAAGTGTTCAATATTGTGTTTATATTAAGTATTAAGTACTTGTATAAATGGTTGAATTTGAGTATAAATTTTAAATAATAAATTATAATTACTGTTCTTATGAAAATGTTGAATTATTCCTTAAGAATCAATTATGAATTCAAGGCCTCAAATGTATAGCAAAAAATATATAGACCACTATCCTGTGCCGGGAAGAGTGAAGCGAGATAAGTGCCCGATACCTACCTGTACATAGTTTTAGTATTTTTAAACTTGTAATTCTTTAATGCTGTCTGTTGTTAATTATTATTAATGTAATAAAGTAAATAACTACTATATTATATTAATATGTATAATTCGATAAAAATCAATTTCTTTACCTAATCTGAGAATTCCCTTTTTTAGAACGATTTATTCTTAATTAGTTTATTAAACAAAAAATACATAAAATATTTTTGTATATATATATCGAACGTATTAAGGTACCTTATATAATTTATAGTATAATAATAATAATAATAATAATAATAATCATTTACGGACGATCTTTTGCAAAATTGACGTGGGCGAAAAATCACGTACCATAAGAGTACAGGTTCATATTTATTACAAGACCAATACGAATAATATCTCGTAGGTACTATCCAAATTCCAAGCTTAATAAAATGCAAATTTACTAAACTCGTAACCTTGAAATCTCTCAAGGTTAATAACTCTGTATGTTTTAAAAGAAACAAAGTGTGTTCATTTTTTATTTAATAGAGAGAGTACTTACAATATTTATACCTGAGTAAAGACAATATATTTTTGTTTAAGAAAAAGTTAGAGTGAATAACTAGTAGGTTTTTATTTTTTTTTCAAAGCAACTATTTTGAACACTTAATATTATTTTGAAATAATAATATGTTTCAGTTTAAATAAAAAACTTATGCAGAAGAAATATTTGTCCCACCCGTGCTGGGTATACATGTATACTTCGTTCATCACAACTCTTCATACAGTGACGTGTTTCTGTAAGGAGGGAAACAACAGGGGACCCCTCCCCCCCAAAAAACTCTTTTTATTTTTTTGTTTAATGCATATTTATTTTTGATTATTCAATATGTTTTCAACAATATATTCTTTTGGATATTCAGTACGATTTAAGATATAACTTATCAACTTATTAATATCATTAGGACGTTATCAATAATTATTTTATAGTGAGGTATTTAATATTTTGTCCCTCAAAAAAAAAAAAAAACTGGCACACAGCTACACCACAGTCTTCATAAGTACGTTTTATTGTGTTTAGTAGATAGGTACATAATGTGCAGTTAATAAGTCTTAACAGTATTAAACTTCCAAGTTCTATTTGTCTAGTGTGTTTCATTCATGTTGTATGGTTGCTTATTTTTTTATAAACAAAAGCATTGGCAGCAAAATATATATGTTATAATTTTATTTCATAACACTATAACAGTGTTGACTTTAATACAACAATATTTATTTTAATAACATTGAGGGGGGGGGGAGAATAAAACATTTTGTAGGAAAAAAATAACTAATATGAATTGAATTGGTACATTTGTTATGGTATTAAATTTTAGTATAATAAGTTGGTGATTTTTATAAATTGTATGATTGCTTTGTTATTCTTCGGATTCGGTCTAAGATAGGTAGATATTGATGTTTAATATTTTAATATATTATATTATGTATTTGTACTTTGTACATCATTATATCTTAATGAAATTAGTTTGAACGATAATTTGTGATAACCATCATCATGTCTTAATGGACTTATACAAACTTGTCACATATTATGACATTGACATATCAAATTAATTCACATAATCCATCATGTTTTTTTTCTACTTAGTTATTTAATTAATTTTGTAACAATAATTATAAATTATTCTTTTTTAAAATTTTTTATTAGAGAACATACGATCTATACAAAAAAGTATAATAAGAATATGTGCTACAATAAACTTAGAAAAATGAATAGGGCGAAAGAACAAACCATCCGTGATCGCACTTTCTTTTGCTTAATATATTAACATATTTTTTTATTTAGTTGTTGTTAATTATACATATATATATTTTTTATTTTTTCGTTAATCATTAAGAAGATCTCTGCACCAATTCCTTTTTAGTGGCCGTGGTTGTTTTCCTGGAATCATAAATTATAAATTCAAAAGAAAATTCAAAATTTAAGAATAATCCGGTTTAAGTTGATAATCGAACTATACATATAGGGCTAGTATTAGATTATGTATTTATTATAAGCACCCAAAACAAAAAAATACACATGATTCCTTTGAATGTATTATGCTGTATAACTCTCTTTTTTTTCCTACACCTTTATCTAAAATCAAACTTATTAATAGTTTAAGTATACATTATAAAAATATTAAATTATATTAAATTTATTTGCATCTATACGTCTTAACATTCATTGCCTTATTTTATATTAAAAATAATACGTAAGTACATACCTAATATACAAACCAATAGTTAAATACATGCTGTAGATTTCCTACGATATGGTAAAAGTACTAATAACTATGTACAAATTGAAGTTGTTATCGTTTTAGCAAAGTAACTAATTAATCAGTAATATAAAAATAAACAATACTTAGTTATTACTAGTTTAATATATTATACTTGTTATTAACCAGTAAATGCAATTTTTTTATCAAAATTATAGATCCAGCCAATTAAAATGTTATATTGACCTTTGTTCATCAATATTATTTTTATCCGGAAATTATTTTTTTACCATTATTCCATAATTAGGTTTCACTATATTCGTATTATATAGGTAGTTTTTATCAACAATTCACGGATCTATTTATCATTTAATAATTCACTATACTTATACTATTAGGTACCTATATAATATATATCATATAACTTTCGTCATTATTATTTATAAATATAACTTTAAAATAACAATAACAATAATTTATCTTAATTTCTGAATAACATTATATAACGTGTTTAATTTATTTTACGTCTAAATATAAAATACGTTATATTTCAAAACAGATATTGAATTCTGTGATGGTCTATTTTCTATATTTTAGACTTTCAAAATAAATAAATGTACTAAAAGCTTACAATTTCGTGTATGAATTATGATGTTATCAATAGAGATAAAGTGTATAAAATTATAATTAATTGTATTTGATTTCAGGATTGATATTAAGACCTCTGAACCTTAGCAGTGAGACTATTACTCTAATTTCATATCCCGGTGACCTTTTTTTGAGGACTTTAAAGTTGATGGTGTTACCATTCATCATATCATGTTTAATTATAGGTAAGCATAATTTTTTTATTCATACAAAATTATTAACTCAAAGTACCAGTTAAATATAATTTACAAGTAATTAGAAGATATTAAGTTATGGGTAACTCATAACTCAAAATTACAATTACAACTGAACTGGAATCGTATCCAGTTTGATCAGCTCTATTGACAATTGAGTATTTCTAAACCATTAAATATGTAAATTATATTTTTTCTTATAAATTTTCTCCTCACTAAAACTACTCATACAAGTTATATTTATAGTTACATTAAGATGATTACCAAAGTTCTTCGAAACTGCAGCGGAAAACTTTATAATAGGTGGAGTTTGGAATCTATAAATTTGTGAATTATAAATCAATCATGTTTTATGTGTTATTAAGACTTGTACATTTAAAATATATAATGATAACTATTAAGTATTAGTACTACAATATATTTTTAACTTGTATTAATAAAAATATTATAACTAAGGTTAGGTTAGGTTAGGTTAGAAAAAAAATTATATTTGATTCATTTTACCTGAAAAACACTTGCTGAAAACACCTTGAATTAATATTTGTATAAATTTTATATTATTCTATTTATTTATTGGTACTATAACCTAACAATCTAAACTTTAAATATCTACCTACTTGTTTGTAATTCAATTTTTATGTGTGGAAATACTCCGTAAGACATTATGCTTAAATAGTCAAATTCTATTAAGTTAATACTTAAATAGTTGAAATAATAAAAAAATTATAGTACTTTTCAAAATAATAAGTGTTTTACATTAAAAAAAACACCCTGATTTACGAAAATTGGCTTTTGAGAATGTTATACATGTAAGAAACGAACCTTAGCGTAGCATCCAACTCATAGTAAATTAAGTACAATACTAAACCGTAACACAAATCATATAGCTTCAAGATAAGGCAAAAGTACATTTTCCTTGCAGCTTTTAGATACCATTACTCTATGACACTATTGCGGGAGGGGGAAAATAATCTAAGTGGCAAACTTAAGTGACTGAAAAATGGGCGAAAGAGAATCTGGTCGAGGATACTATCGCAGTATACATATATTGAGGAAAATAATGCTTATTTTATGTGAAGCCATAAATTACAATCAGTTAATAAACTCATGAAAACCACGTTACAGCCTGTGCTATGATTCAAAACCATGTAAACATGATTAGCTTCTTAATAAATCTAAATCTGCGCAAGTAACATTTTCACTTAGATACCTATCTTGATTCACCACCCGTTACGTTAAATAATCAAACAATTACAACGCAAACGAACTGAAATATCTTGATCTAATCCTAGATAAAGGCCTAACCTAAACCCACACATAGAACTTAAGAGCAAACTGTTAACTCTAGACTTCACCTCTAATGCCACTCTTGAAATCAAAACTCACCCTATCCAATGAACTTAAAATACACAAGTCAATAATTCGACCAGTTTGGACGTATGGTATTCTGTTATGGCCTTATGGGGTACCTACTGCAAAGTCATCCAATACCAAAACGCTTCAGGCGTTTCTATCCATCTGCTACAGTAACGACTTCTCCTTGCCCCTTGGTATTTCACAGACAACAATCTTCATAAATATCTAGTAATGCTCTTACACTTAATCAATTAGCAAAATTATAATAATTTAAATTGCACACTAACTTAAATTCTCACAGTTACCTATTAATCGAACAACTATCCTAAACCTCACTTATGGTAATGTACGTAGAAGATTCAAAAGATAGTGGCCTACTAATGACCTAAAATGAATTTGCTACACAAAATTTATTTCGCCCAGATGCTCATATTATATTATAAAATTCGTTACTGCGACAACTATAATAGGTAATGGTCGTATGGATAATGACCATGGTTGGCATCATGACATCTAAATTGCTTTCCGTTGCCCGCTGCGTCAAGACACTACAAGGAAAACCAATAATTTATTATTAGCTTTGTTGATATTCATTCGGTAAATTATTGCAATACGTATTACTAATTTAGATCGTTTTAGGGTGTAGCTTGTAGGCATAACGTATGGTTTATGTGTTCCATATTCAAATATTATTATTGTTTAAATTTATAAGTGTTACCTACTTTGTATTATGTACTTATCCGCAAACACATTGCACTCACTCATTTACTAAATTATATTTTTATTTAACTCATGTTATATTAGCGTTCAAAATGTTGAGCGTGAACCAAAATTACAATTCTTCGGCCTAATTCAGATCAAATATTGCTTGCAGTATAGAACAGACTGATTTAATTGAAATCTAATATTTTTTATATTAATGTATTCGAGATAGCATAGTTATTAACTAGATTATGCATTATGAACGAACTTTTTTCCAGGTGCTGCTAATTTGGATATAAGTAAAAATGGCAATGTTGCAGTCCGAACTATTGTGTATTTTGTCCTTACATCCGTTTTTAATGTCTGCTTGGGGTTAACGCTCGGTCTTCTCGTTCATCCTGGCAGTCCAGATTTAAGGTCAACAAATATCACGTCATTTTCAGGACCCAAAAAAATGAATGTTATGGATGGATTTTTAGATATGGGAAAGTGAGTAAAATATTTTAACTAATTTTATTCGTTAGGAGTGATCGTTAACAAAAATTTGGACTATGGAATCATTGCATATCCTAATCGGTAAAAAGATTATTTATTAAAAATTATATTAAAAGTTACATTGATATATTAGAAAATAATAATAATATATTAGTATACAATATATACAATGTATATAGAAATAATTTTGAATTTGTATGAATAAAATAAGTACCACTGTCTTCAATTATAAATCTAAATTTACTTTGTGATTTTTTTTTATTTTCAGGAATTTATTGCCGGAAAATTTGTTTCAAGCTACAATTCAACAAGTAAGAAATAATTAATAAATTCTATGAAATATTTATATAATATTATTTAAGTATTAAACATTTTTAAAAGAACTATTACTGATTAGTGCTCTTACTTCAAAGTTCAAAGTAATATTTTATTTACTGATTTCCTACATATTAAAATTTAAAATTAATTATTAACAAGTAGGTAATATATAATATTTATTGTCTTGAAATTTAATAAAATATTGACATATGTAAATATAATTTCGAATTGTTATTTTACTATACATTGCCATTCACAAACTACCTACCTACTACAGTCGATTTATATAACGACGATTGTCAATATTTTTCAGACATTAACCGAGTATGAGACCGTCATGGGTGAAAATAACACGAAAATTTTGAAAAAAGTGGTTAAATACAAGTAATGCTACAAAATTATTAAAGTGCAGTTGGCTGGGTCGGATAATATTTAACACTTACCTATAATATATAATATCCCCAGCTTTTGACTTTGTTCAATATGCTATATGATCGCTTCCATAGCTTATGTATGCAAATATAAACCTGCTATTCGGCAACTCGTTTTGGATAAAATAAAGTAAATATAAAAAAAAATCATTCAAACAACATTTTCAAACCATTTTCAGGGACGGTACAAACACATTGGGCATAATATTCTTTTGCCTGATCTTCGGAACCGTACTGGGCACGATGGGTGAACGCAAGCGACCCGTTTTGAACTTCTTCACGGTCACCTACGAAGTAATGCAAAAGATACTCACCGGAGTGATTTGGTAAATTTCGTTACACTGCTTATTGCATGCGTCTAACAAAATATATTATGTACCTACGTCCTACACACACTTCCACGCACACATACACACACACACACACACACACACACATACATGTGGTTTATCCAATATCCATCGCCCGGACCTGGTGAAAGATATTCCTTTACCGTTATCCATTTATACAGTATTTATAAAATACCTACATAACATATAAATATTGTATTGTTGCACGTACACCCCTATTACGGTAACCTCTATTACAGAACGTCTCTGTAGGTTTACGCCCATTGGAGTGGCCAGCGTCATATGCGGTAAGATCATCACACTGGCACAACTCACCACCACCCTGGTCCAGCTCAGCTTGTTCATCGCAACAACGGTCGGCGGTTTCCTATTCTATCAGCTGATAGTCATACAAGTAATTTATTTCGTAATCGTGAAGAAGTCTCCATGGCCGTACTACGTTTCACTAGGACCCGCTCTCGCGACCGCCTTTGCTACGGCTTCCAAGTAAGATTTTTTTCGTTGGTGGTCGTCAGCAATTAGTTATAACAAATCAAAAAAATTATAAGCTAAGCAATTATCCAAATAGCATCCCATGAAATGCAAAAAAATATAAATATTGAAATATAGAACTCGTAGAATTTGTAGAATACTCGTGGAACTTATAGAATATATTATATATTTATTGCGGTATTCGTTCCTGCAAAATATGACTGTCTCTGTAATATTTTGTACCAACTATTATATCTAAGAACTAAGACTTAACTATAAACTTTATAGATATTACCTATATAAACCAAAATAATAATAAGTTTATTAAGGTTAAACAATACACAAATTACAATTAAATCACATGACTTACAACTGGGAGGGACATGATTAAGAAATCATGAAATATGTTCCTTAAAAAAAAACAAAAATACCTTAAAATTATAAAAAATGTAATATGTTTATAAGTACACACAAATATTCAATAAAATAATTCATATTTTCAATTACCCTTCAATGAAACTGTTTACTTAGTCAGCTTACTTGGCGTTTATACTACCTATACATGCGATCGACCAATAAAAATATGCAAGGTTTAATATGTAACTCATATCTTAGTTCATAAGTAGGTACATATTATGCCTACTGCATACACATTTCAAAAAATAAATTATAGGAATATTAATTTGAGCAATAAAGCATATACGAATTCAACAAGCTTCATTTGTGTCCAAGCTTTACACATAATAATATTGTTGTTTCTTCAAATTTTGATAATTAAATTATATTAATCTTTCGTAATTTGTATTATCAATAATGATGACTCATGAATGAATAGTGAAAACTATAAATACTTCAAAGATTCATAAATCATAATATAGACATCTATAATAGTCAAATATTTTACTTACCTTACGTGTAATTACATTATGATCTCAATTTTAATTTAATCTATAATTTATCGTTTTATCTTAGGTCAGCATCTCTTCCAATAACATTCAAAGTGTTGGACGAAAAGTTAAAGATGAATCCAAAAATCACTAAATTTGTCCTTCCAATCGGTACGATCAATATGGACGGTTCAGCTCTGTACCTGAGTGTAGCGCTATTATTCTTGGCGCAAATCAATAATTTGCAACTAGGAATTGGAGAAATTTTCACTATCGGGTATGATATTAAAGGTTTCTATGATACATACATAATACAACCTTACATAATAATATAACGTATCGAATTACATGTCATTCGATACTAACCATTTTGTTTTTTATCTTTTCATCATAAACCGTTCAATAATATGATGTCGTATTGTTAATAGTTAACACTACTATGAAAACATTTTGGTAAAAAAAATAATGGTTCAAAAATCAGTTGGTAATAAACAAGGTACATCATAATATTTTATTGCCCTATCCTCTACATACTATAATATTAAATATTATATAAGGTTAAGATTTATTGAAAGATAATCGCCATTTTTTTTTTTTTTTTTTTTTTAATTGATCCTGAGCCCGGCAACTGTGGCCATTAGCTATTAGTAGGTACTGTAGGTTTTTGTATTGATGGTTTGTAGGTTTTTGGAACGGTAGGGGGAACACGTGTGTGTTTGTTTTGGCAGAATTTCGAATGGGGCACCCGTAGGTTTCTGCCATGCCCCGGGGGTGGGGGATGGCAGCACTTGCTCTCCGGTCACCGCGACTTGTCCGGAGAAAAATGCCGCCCGGTGGCCGAGGATCGAACAGCGACCGGCTGCGTCGCAGCGGAAGAGTCAGACCACTCGGTCACCTCGTGACTGACTGCCCGGAGAGAAGTGCCGCCCGTGACCGACGTTCGAACCGACGACGGTGCGCGTTGCAACCGACGCGTTATCCGCTCAGCCACTTCCTTCCCCAATAAGTATATTATTAAAGGCTAAAATGAGCATACTTGGTAAATCGCTCATTATAGTTGTTCTTATGTTATACACTTATACCTATCGGACAATTTGTTTGATTTTCATATCTATATGATACCTAACTAAAAATACGACAAGTTATGGTCTGATCGCAATAGTTACATATATTATATAAATAGTAGGTACACCCAGACCTACCGATAGATGTTGCTAATGGGGTGCCACCAGTAATGTTTAATGATTACAAATTACGCAATCTCCTCAAACAAATTAGTTTAATAAAAGCCGATAGGTAAAAAATATTGTGCCTTATGAATATGGCAACAATCGATGTTTAAATTTATTTGATGACAATCAAAAAAATTCACATATTTACATACATGCCCATCGGCCATCACAAATCAGTGATATATATTGTTTTGCTAATATTCGACTACAGGTTGGCTTGCACGGCTGCAAGTATGTCTTCAGCCGCTATTCCGTCGGCGGCCATCGTCTTGGTCGTCATGCTGTGTAGTGTGATAAACATACCCACTGAAGACGTATCTTTGCTGTTTGCCGTCGATTGGCTAGTGTGAGTACCCTATATACGACATTAGAACACATATTATAAGACCTTTGTACTTATCACTTATGCATATAAATGTATAACACGTACGTCGTACACACGTTTCATGGAAATTAGTAATTTATAATATTAATTTTTTTATTTTTAATATATACCCCAAAACAGGGACAGGTTCAGAACTATGAACAATCTAATCGGAGACTGTTACACGGTGGCCATTGTTCAGCATTTGTCCAAAGAGGAATTAGAACAGGTAAAAGCATAGCAATAATAATAATTAATATAAGTGTTATAATAAGCTAGACAATACAATTATTATTGTCGATCGATCTTAGTTTCAGAGTTATATACTGTTATAGCCTTTTGAAGTTCGTCCATACAGCGGAATAATATAACACTCAAACTCCCCCCTCCCCCTATCCATAATAACCTCACTTCTGGGTTCTTTAGTTAAAGAAATATTTAAAAAAAGAATTGTACCTAGTTCTCTTCTTCATTAAAGTTGTAAGGATTTTTTGTTGGAACTGAGCCTCTATTAGTCTATTGACTATTTCTCCCTGTTATCCTCCTGGATACACCTAAGTTTTCGTTTATTTAATGATATATTACTATTCCTATATAACCTATACGATATAATGTGTAGCCCGATGTATAGTGTTAGGAATAATACACCTAGCTAAATTAGCATACCTAAATTTTAGTTAATCCGACTATAGGCATTTCAGACATTCATTACGATATATAAATCACCACATATTATATACAAGTAGCCAGTAGGTAGGTATTCCCTTTTCCTATTTTACTTTTATAATATGACTCATATAGGTATACCGATAACCGTATGTCTGTATACTATTTACATCGCATATATCTATTACGCTGGGCTGTTTGCCAACCAGGAAAACGGTGAAAATATCACAACTCCAAAAACGAGGTTTTTTCTGACACGACGCAGTATTATTATACTATTATAGTTGGTAACCTCGTAGGTATGACGTCGTTACTCGCTAGAAAAGTGTTCATAGTGTCAGCATGGTTACACAATAAAAAAAAATAATAATAATAATGATAACTCGTATATATTTTAGTTTCTAGTTTATTAAAAAAATTGGTTGTAGCAAAATAATATAACGTTTACGATTTACCTACCATCGTATTATACAATCATACACAATCGAGTTTGGAGAGGCTCTCAACAAAATATTTTCACGAACGCCCTTGGTCGGCTTGAATAATCGATTAATGATACATACCGTAGATACATACACAATACGGTTAGATATACACAGATACTACTATTGTGTATTGTATAATTATTATGATATTTGTGGCGTAGAAAGTAAAATCGACGTTAGTATTCGATAGGTAGTAATAACTATAGTAATATCTACAAGTTTTCGACTGTCACTAGACATTTTTGGTTTACATACCTACGCTCTATGCATTATACCTAGTATCCACACTTTACTGAAGGATGGTCGGCTACAGCTAAATCGCTTTGATTAAAATGTTCAATAATAAATAAAATATTTGCTTTACAAAGTTATTTCTATATTTTTAATTTGACTGAACTGTGTATGCTTATATGCTTACTCATATACAATTATCAACAAATTATAAATAATTATCTTGCCTTCCCGATACAATTTTAAAGACACATTAGGCTTTGTGTCTTTTGACTACCGACTACGGTATAAGTTAGTATTGTATTAGATATCTAAAGACTATGAAATGCATTATGACCAGGGTCCAAGATAATAAAATGTTATTGGTATTATAAATTGAGTTTGTGTCTAAAACTTTACAAATTATACTGTTTTTTTCATTTTTTTTATTTTAAATTTAAATTTCATACAGTGAATGCTGGGCCTTACAGTGACACCTCGTGTGGGGGGGGGGGGGGACACCTCGTGTGGGGGGGGGGGGCGAACTGTGTTTGCCATAGACAGTTTTATTTGTGTATATATAATATATATAGTGAGTTAAAGAGGTGTGTAAGCTAAGCTTATTTTTCTACTCCTGATAACATGATTATATGTCATACATTCAAGTATTCAATAAATACATTTCAAGCTGTATATTATGTAAACATAAATTAGTTGGAAGAATGTTTTCTTACCACTACCCCATAATTACCAACGTCATAGTGTACAATTACCTATACCTAGTATATTCAAAGCAGTGGCACAACTTTAATGTAAGCGCCCCAAATTGCCTTTATAATAATTTCAAGTACCTATTTCTACCTACCTATATTTGTAACCATTATTAATGCTATTTTAATGTAGGTTCACATTTTTTTCTTATCTTGATTTCCATTTGTTTAATATTCGTTTTTCCTCCCCTCGGCAGGACGACCAGAAAGAAGCCGAAGAAGCGCATGTCAACGGCACGTTCGTTATGCAAGAACAAGAGCAAAACGGACAGACAAATCATAGTTTTTCTACCAACACACCAGTATAAAATATATATTATTTTCAATACCTACGACAACTGCGACGTTTTCAGTATTATCATGTATACGTATAACGGAGCTGGCTGTTAAATCGCACGTGCTGCAGACGACAATTCATATATTATTATGACTCGAACGTATTATTATGATTATTATTATTAGTATGTATTAGTAATTTACTTATTTTTATTTTTATTATTCCGTGTTCATATGTGAGACCATTTACAATGCGTACCTATTATATATTTTTTCATGAATGTTTTTTTTAATAAAGCGCGATGGTACAACATACATTAATAAATGATTTATACTTTAAAAATCGGTAAATCTGGATGACGAGTAAACTAGAAAAAACTGACAAAAATTGTATCATATTTTACTATTTTAACCTTTGTGACCAACGATTATGATATTATATCCTCCCTGGACCAGCTACGCGAACAGGGCCTATAGTGTAGGCGGTTACAAAAAATTTAAATCGTTTTTAAATACAAGTACCGACATCTATCGTGTGTATCGTAACAAAACACAAGAACACTTTTATTGTTTTAATTTATTTTGCATTTTCGAGAAATCAATCAATAATACAATTAGTACAGCATTTAAACTATTTTAAACTATTTTAAACTTGTTTGAAAATATTGTGTGTTACCATCGTGCCACCTTGAAATTATTATTATTATTATTATTATTATTATTATTATTATTTGTGTTTTTTTCTATCATGTCAGTATATTATAATATTATTAATATTAAACCTATCATATATATTATTTATTATTATATACCTGCCATATGTTCATATAATTACTTTAATGCGTTAATATAAAATTGTATGTGTAAACATTTACATGTATAGAATTATAATCATTGTAGTGTCTATATTATAATATTGACTTACAGTATTTATGTCACAAATCACAACTACTGTGTATCGCCCGATTTGGCTAATAATTGTAATATTATAAGTTATAATATTGCATTCATCGGGTGCATAACATAATAACGTAAAATCGTTGAGAACACAAAATAAAATACTTGATTGGGCGTCAATTGTCAAAAGGGCCATAGACGGTCGATATTAATAACAATTGATTGCCAGTGTCGTCGGTTGTCAAAAGTTGTGCAGTTGGCCAAAAATAGTAACCTAATAAACAGTATCGTGTATTTATGGTTTCCAAGTGAGTTATCTCAATGAGACCCAGTAACCAGTAAAATTATTTTTAATACAAATAAATTAAGTAGAAAATTCGAATCAAACGATTAAATTCTTCTTCTCTAGAAATATAGGTAATTCAATAGGGATCCAAAATATTTAAGATATCCTAAAAAAAAAAAAAACTCAAATGCTCGACTAATGGAATTTGATACAACTATTTTTAAACTCAAAGTACGCTGGGTTATAGTATTAAATATTAATATATACACTTCGCCTGCGCATTGTTCAAAATTAACAGTTGATCAATTACAATTTCAAGCTATAAATTGCTCAAAAAATCCTAATAGGAATAATACAAATATCAACACCTAAGATTACAATATTCGACTAGGGGGAGGGAAAGACTAGGCATTTTCCCAGGGCCCCGCTTAGGGTGGGGCCCTACCTTTAAAGGTAGGGGCCTTAAATTAGGTCCCCGAAAACTTTATTTTCCCAGCAAAAACCTTCCACCGTCACTGGCCACACAACACCTCCTTCGTTATTTCAAAGTTCAAACCAAGTTTGCTGTTGTTATTTCAACAATATCCTATCAAGTCAAGGAATACCTAGTTGGTTGGCTATTTCCACTACACAAACCGGTTTAATAAACCAGGTTGTTGGACTGACATAAATAAAGTTTTCCATGTTATATTTTACAGGTCTTGCGTTCAAACCAACACTTTCCTATTAAAAATATCGTCTCAAGCATGTAGAGTTGATTGTTGTTAGCGTCTACATTGCCATCAAACCTCGACTACTATAGCTATGCAAATAATTAATTTTACTATTATGCTCATACTCAATGTTCTGGTATCCTGAGCAAATTCACCGAGTACAGCAGTATAAACGAAGAGTCAGTTATCTGTAAATCATCATCCCTAGGTTACCTAAGCGGCTCTATCGAGAACCACCACAGAAGCCTAGGTATCGTCGAACATGTTTATTTACATCGAAGCTTGACTACATAGGTATAGTAATATGTAATAATTATGTTATTGTGACTTATTCATTTTTATGTCAAAAACAATTTTAAATCTATTTTATATATTTGAAACTATTATCTTGTATCTCTTGCAGATATGATTAGTAGTAGTAGTAGTATACTACATAACATAATATGATATTGATGAATGTTAATATGTTATCGAATCGTAATGTACCCAGCGAATATGTATACGCGTGGTAGGATAAACTTATAAAAAAATGTTTCAACAGACTGCGTATAGAATTAATAAACCTTCAATAGAGCTGATTACATTTTTCTCGTTTCTTTACAACAGAGGTCAACAAACTTTTGTAATCGTATGTACATGCGCAGGCAGTAGTCTCTTTTATAGGCCAACAGCCGACATTTCCTAATCAAGCAATCGTGCGGTATATTAATAGTAGATGTCCATATGGTAAACTAGTTACGACTCAAGTCGCCATTAGAGTCGAAAACGAATGAAACCCAAAAGAGTTTACAAGAATCTCCGGCGCTAAACATTAACTGTTCAAATTTAACTCAAAATGAGTACCAATGCAATTACATCGTGTAATGTATTGTCCAAAATATAATAATTTGTAAAGGGTACCTATGCCCGTTAGTGCCAAAATAAAAAAAAAGATACAGTCAAGCATCAGCTGGTGTCACTAGTTCCAGGATGGGTGACCACCCGGATTTTTAGTGACAAATCCTTGCCACATACACAAGTGTTCTCTACCAACCGTGCTCTCCCAAACAGTGATACATCTACTTAATAGGGGATTGTTAGTTCTTACACGAGAAGTAGCAGGTAAAAAATGTTATACTTTAATCTCTACATATAAGATATGATAGTTCCTACACGAATATAAAAATGATATGTGTAAGTTCCTATTGGTACATAGTAAAAAATGTATGTACATTCCTACACGGCAGAAAAAAAAAATTAGGTACCTACCTATTTATTATATTATATAGGTAATTAAATTTCAGTTTCATACTTTTTATAGTTAAATATACCTAATGCAATTCCATATTTAATATAATATAATATTTTTTTCTGGCATGTAAGAACTAACATAATATGTATTTTACCCTACTTACTACGCTCCTAAATAATTCAGGCTAATGACCACCTCAGATGTTGAAGTCTTAACTCAATAAAAAAAAGGTACGTACGTTTTTATCGACAGCCCCTTCGTGACAAATTTACCTGTGGTGTACACTTTATATGCAGTAATGATGGTTTGATAGTGAAGTATCAGTTTGTTAAAAGGTTGAACTTTTATAGCTATAAGGCTTGAAAAATTAAAAGTACAAGATTATCAAAAATAGCTATTATACTGAAACCTGAAAACCTAAAAAATAAATAATTTCAACTTAATCTAAATTAATTTTAATGTGATTTTGATAAAAAATTGTATAGATTATTTCCGATAGTTTTATTCCTTCATAAAATAATATTATATTAATTTATAGGTATCCACCTAATAGAGATCATAGTTCACAACATTGATTAGGTATGTTTGAATTTAGTATTATAATTAATATTTTATATGTGGATTTCAGATGACCAAAGATTTTGTTGAAGTAACAACACAGAATTTTAAAATTACATTTATTAACATTATAAAGTTCCTTATGGAGTATATTACTGAACCAAACTGCATATTTAGTTCCTAGAAATTTGATCTACTAAGTACGTCTTGAGAAATGACAGATATTTCAAAAATTCTATACTCATTGATTTTATTCAGATTGTATTGTTTATACCTTCAGTAAGTAAGTTGTAGTCGTTTTATCAATAATTCAGTTAAGTATAACCATATAATATGCTCTCATCCATTGGTTTAAAAAAAAAAAATTAGAATGGATATTTCTTTTACTACTTTGAACAAATAATTCACAACTTGCACTTCACAATTTTGCATACACAACTTGAAAAAATGATTTACTCTTTAAAGGGTTAATAATTTTAAAAATAATAAAATATAAGATAACGGAAACACATTAGCAACAAAAATATGTGATAAAAACGAAAATTGTTTAATTAAGTACCGATTAAATCCAACTTGTTACAAAAAGTAGAAACCACCTCGAATGTTGAAGATTTTGTAATGTTTATGATCTATGTAATAGAATATATTCCAAATAAAAAAGTCAAGGGGAAGTTTTCAATAAAAATAATCGTGTGAATTCCAAGAAAATATTTGTTCATAGATTAGTATTTTTACGATGGTAATAATCTGTAGTCGGTCAAGTATACAGGTGTAAGAGTTAAAAACTCCAAGGAATTCTTTAAAAAAAAATGTTTATAATATTCTATATTAGATCTTCATGATTATTATAAATATTGATGTCAAATACTTATTCGATATTTTAATAGCGACACGTCAAAACGATAAAAAAAATAATTTTTATATTTTCTGAACCAATTGATTGGTCCTTTAAATCTTATTGAACCATTAAAATTAATCAATTTTTCATACAACCTAACTCACTCTGGTGTCTTTATAATAAGGGGCAATATTTAGACAATATGCAATTTCGTTACCGTCGCTCATTGCCTGTGTTAATCGTAAAAAAAAATAAACTACCTAGTTTGAGTTCGTTTGTGGTAAAAGTTTGATTCGTGCTGGCCTCTGAAAATGTGGTATTTTCAAGAAATTGTGGTTGGGCATTTAATGAAATTATTTAGTTCTTTGAGGTCACGGCTCGTTTTTTTTGTGTGTATACTCCCCAACCATCGCCGGCATAAATGATAATGATAAATTGATAACTATTATTACCGTGGTCGGTTAAACTTAAAACGCAGAACGCACACATAATATTATTTTATCATTAAATCAAACTATCAAAGAATCAAAATATTCAAAACTAATTTATTGACGTCAATTAGCTAATACACGAATACGGCTGACATAGTGACATCAATTAAAGTACTTTCGAAGACTGCCTTCCAAAGATTCGCTTTAAATATACTAAGATTTTTGAAGGCATAACCAAGATTACTCTATATCTGAGCCCTTTATCGATTTGACAAAATTCTTAAAGAGAATATACATTTTAAAATGTTGATATTAAATAATCATTATGTATTAAAAACTATTAAAAATATACGTACCGACCAATGCAAAGCAAAATTGTTTATTTCTAAATTAAAAATATCTTGACAAATTTTTAACCGAACCATTTGATATACTTTAATACAATTGTCGTCCGATTAAAAAATTGAAAAGGTTTTCAATTCAAGTATAAATAACTCTATGTCCAAAAATGCACAAAACTTCAACTTTGAGGTTGGTTCTATTGAAAATTATATCTAGTTTGTATTTTGAAGACAAAACTCATAAGTAGTAATTGTTCGAATTCTAGTACCAACGCTGTACAAGATAATCAGGATTTTATATTTGTTGCAATTCAAAAACTAACCACCAGACTAGAAATAATCTAGTTGTACTTGACACTTTTTTAAGACTATACAATTTTCAAACTATTTAGACACTCTTTTGACATTTTATACTTTCTTAGTCTTTACAATTGACTCGGTATAATATGTATGATACAATTTTAATTTTAGGGTAAAAATTCTAGAAACTGAATACAATTCCCAGCAGGTTTTTCTTAACAATTTGAATCATTTTATGAGACATCAATCTTAAATCAAAATTTTTGTTAAGTATTTGATCTCAAATATTTATCAAGTATTAATACTTTTAATAAAAATGTAAGTATCTGTATGAGATAGTTACATAACTACAAACACTTATATCATAGTCAGTCACCATTGTGAACAGGTACATTTAGCCAATACCACATGCATAATTATATTTATGTTATTTTTAACAGATTTCTTCATTCAGAATTGTGTAATATCTCACCAAGGCATCAATTAATGATAGTGTTGGCAGTTATTACAATATACACGAGTAAATATTGAGTAATTACAATAATATTAGGCAGAATAATAACATTTGCACTCAAAGAAGGGTTTCTATACACTTAAACTATTACAACTGGCAATAAATTAGTTAAATCTGCCAAAAAAACTATTAGGAAATGAAACACCAATACAAGGAAATTAAATAAAAAAAATATAATTAAACGTATGAAATAATCAATTTTTATTCCTCTTGTACAACTGTTGTCTTTTCAGATACATATAAACCATCCAAGAACTTACGGATATCCTTGTTCTTTACGGTTGTAGACTGTTGGATTAAAGCAGCTAGAACAGATAATGAAAATTGTATTATTACATCTGAGAACTAGATTAATTTTATACAATATATTAAATGAATTCTATAAAATTCAATAATATAACCACAAATTGAATCAAGGACTTGCACACTATTCAATTCTATAAATTACACTTTTGATAATAAGTTAAAATGTTAGAGCTATTTCTTACATCAACAGTTTGCATTAAAGAGATTACAAACAGTAAATTATTTCAACAAAAATATAACAATCATTTGTTAATCATGTCGATGGACTTTGAAATGAATTTCCACTTTTGAAGTGATTTGAATTCAGAAATGTCTAATTAAGAGATGCTTCCTGGACATTTGTTGTCTCTATCTTAGAAGTTCACAACATACTAAATATTAAGCGCAGCAGATTACAATTAGCTGTTGGTTTAAAAATTGAGTGAATTGACCTCTTTAAACATTTAAAGGCTCTGAGTATTTTAAAATTGTACATTATTTGTACATCTTAAAATACTCAAAACACGCTTAAAAATTAAAATGTAATAAAAAGATCATGAAATTATTTTCTAGATAATAATCTTCTTTTTAAACTTTATAAGAGGTCAGTTCATTCAAATTTTTTAACTTGTTGAGTATAACAGGTAATCAGGTATAGTGGGTATTGATTTTATAATAAACCTAAAGATAAACCATCCTATTGCTGTATCCGGTTTCCATTATGAGCAATGTAGACAGAAAAAAAGAACCTAACAGCAGACAGCAATCAGTATTAACAAAGGATGGCTTATCTATATATTATAAAATAAATGTTATCGGTAAGATTGACAAGGAATACATTCTTTACTATTAACGGGTGCAAGCCCATGTGTTTACTTGTACGTGCACGAGACTTCTGTTATTTCATTTATATTAGTCACATACACAATACACACTCAGCAATCACTTACTACATACAAATTAACAAAACCTGTATTTAACTCCTTAAAAACCAATTATTTTATAATGCAAATAGCATATCATTAATTAAACAAAATTTAAGAAATATTATTAGATAGTAAAATTGAATGTAACATAGGTTTATTTTGCTCTTATAATTAGTAATTGTATTTTAATTAAGGCTCTCTCTAATTGGTACAAAGTACATGATTGATCTAACTTTTGATTTACTTATTTATAACAAAATATTAACAAAAATTAAGTAGGTAAATATATTATATTGTAGTTAATTTAATACTTTCAAAAACTATTATTCAACTATAACATAAATAATTGTTATGTTTTTTAAGAGCTTATGAATGATACAAGATTAGAAACAAAAATGTGAATGTGTATGTAGGCTGCATATTACTGCTTACCATGGTTCAAATTTGTCAACGGACAATATTTTTCTAGATAAATGAATATTGATGTTCTTTTTGGTTTAAATTAACTAAAATAAACTAAAACTTTAAGTATATTTTAGGTATGATAAAAATACTAGCAATTATGAACATTTGGTACACTATTTTAAATCTAAGTTTTCCTACCTTTCATTTAAACACGAATGAAAAAATGTTTGTTAATTTATATATAGTGTAGTGAAACATAAATTGTAGGTACTTATGATAAAAAAATGTAATATACCTGATCTAGAAACTTTTTCAATGTCATTTCCTTCTACAATTAACTCGTCTTTTTGTTTAGAGTTAGTAATGGTGACACCTGGCGACATCTTGACACGTCTGATGTATTTTTCACCCAAAAAATTTCTGATTTCAATCAGTGAATTATTTTCAGAAGTAACACAATTGATGGGGAAATGGGCATATACTGCTCTCATTTTGTACAAGAAACCCTAAAAATAAATTTAAAAACGTTAAATTAGATTAATACTTATTATTAAATTGATTAGCACTTACCTTGGTGACACCTTTAATCATATTTTCAACATGAGTGCAAATGGTTCTGACAGCAGCCAATTCTTTCTTGGTACCGAACCATTTTTCTACAGTCAAAAGACGTGGTCCTTTTAGGTATATATCAACAGCTAAATGTTTGAAATTCCTTTCTAAGGAACCACGGGGGCCTTTGACGGTAATAATCCTCTTATTGACTGTGACATCAATGCCATCGGGGATTTTGACAGATTGGTTGGCGTTTATGGTCCTCATCTGAAAATTTAAAAATAATGTTATTCAATAATCAATACAAACTAAACAACAATATACTGTATATTGGTTAAGATTATAAGTTTAGTTATAAAGACAAATATAAAAAATGCATCTGTGTGCAACAAGCATTAAGAAAATAATGTAGACTTGATAATAAAGATCTTGAAAACCGATAGTATTTTAAAAATTGCACAGCAAATTTGCTCAATTATATACCGATTGATGAATTCTATTTAGGATATATGGGATACGTGTAGACAACCCGAGAGCACTTCAAAACGTTGATAGCCTCGGAAAAGTCGATACATTCCAAAGTTTTAAACTCACAGTTTTAACAGGAATAAATGCTTTTAAATGATCGGTGAACTGTCGAAGATATAATTTAGATCGATATGGAAATTAAAGGAAATGTAAACTGAAAGCGCCGGAGGAGCGTAAATCGACGTTTCGGAGGTCGTCACGGCTTAAGTTCCGGAACTCGAAAAATACAAAAAATAAACTCCTGAACGCATACACATAATAAAATAAGGATTACGAAGAACTTACTGCTACGATTAATTGAGTTTTAAATGTAATACAGTAGACAAAAATTTGGATTACCTTGGATGAAAATCCGGACACACCGAAGACGTAAACTAGAAACGAAGAAGAGAATAATTTGTTTAGGTGCGAATTCGAGGTTATGATTTTATGAGAAAATGTCATGAGGACGTGGTATACGCGGTATCAATTAATGTGCGGTATCATGTTGTGATCAAGACCCCAGTTACCAATATGGTTTTTATGGATTACTTTGTTCTCCTTATCAGTACACTTATCAATTGTTGTTTTCGATTTAAGATAGTACTATCTACAGCCGTGGTTTCGGCGTCGGTTCCAGAGAAGACGTGCCTAGTGCTTACAAGTAGACTTTCTACTGGTTACAGCGATACGGCTTACTATTCTTCGGAAATCGGTTTTTGTCCCGTAAGTAAATTATTTATTAATTTTTTGACAAAAATACGTGACCATTCATTAAAAAAAAAACGCCATGACTGACATAAGCTCGTACAGAGACCAACACTTTAAAGGCTCACGAGGTGAGATGGACAAGCTGTTGCGTTTGTCGACAACCATGTATGTTGGAAACTTAGCGTTTTATACGACGGAAGGACAAATATATGAGCTGTTCTCAAAGTGTGGCGATATTAAGCGCATCGTCATGGGCTTGGATAAATTCAAGAAAACGCCCTGTGGCTTTTGCTTCATTGAATACTATACAAGGGAAGATGCAGAGAATTGTATGCGTTTCGTCAACGGCACACGACTAGATGACCGCATCATACGAACAGACTGGGATGCCGGATTTATAGAAGGGAGACAATATGGCCGTGGGAAAACAGGCGGCCAAGTGCGAGACGAGTATAGGACTGATTATGACATCGGCCGAGGTGGATATGGCAAAAACGCTCAACCCAAAGCGGACATGATAATATTCGGAAGAAACAAAGAAGCCCTTCCAATGGAATAATGCACGATTTTACAACAAAATGTTCCACCAAATTATTTTTTTCTAAATATATATACCTAATTTTTTTTTTTTTTTTCTATCACGTGTAAATTTCCTATCACTTGATTTTGTAAATAAATAAATATTTTTATATGTTGTAGAAGTGTATTCAATTCAAACTCAAATGATCATTTTATGATCATGTTTTATAATATTGGGATGTGACATTTTTAAATTGCTACGCACAAATGAATGATAACCAATCAGATAATTTGCATTGCTGTGAATATATTAACATGAACGAAGAAAAGTCTACTATAATATCAGATCTTTGTACTTGCCCACCATTTGGAAACTGCTGTTCAAAGTAAATATACTGAACACTTATCATATTATTGAATACTGGCACTGTTTTTAGTTTGCTTGTTTTACCAATTTTTTTTTTTAACAATTTGTTGCAATTATTTTATAATTAATAATAATGGACAATGGTCTTGTACAAAACTGTGGTCATAAATTCACTACATAATTACCATCTATAAGCTTAAAAATGTTTTTATCGTGACTTCTGAATAAGTGTCAGTTATAAAAAAAAAAATACCTATCATCTACTAATATTAAGAGGATAAACACACCCATCTGTTGTCTCCACCTTACAAATGTATAACATATGTAGCAAAAACTGTTTTTCGCAGAGCAATTATAGTCCCTCTGTATTTATCTATAGAATTACAAAGTTTCCAAAATGCATAGCTAAGAACTTAATCTGTGTTTTTTTTTTCATGATTGTACTAACCAATCATTTTTAATACTTAAACAAAAAAAACCTTATGTTCTCAAACTGATAAAGTTGTATTTATGTATCCAAAAAATAAAAATGATAAGACACTTCTCTATACATTGTGGAATTTAGGTAATTCTATTATAAACACATAGGGAGTATAATATTGTTATACATTTGAAAGACGAAGACACCTACTTTTGTACATTTTAAAAATGGTCAAACTTACTTTAAAATAATAATATCAATAAAATCCTTTGAGATGCCCTAGATTATATTCTTCCCTTTAAATTTTAAGATAGGAAAATTCACTCTAGTTTTTGAAACTACAGAGTAAAATGTATTATTGTAAACATACAATTTTGCCACATTGTATAAGACGGAGACAACAAATGCACATGTGGCGTCCTCTTGATACATTTTTAAAGCTGTTAGTCCAGTCAAGTAAATGAAACAATGATAAATCTAAAGTCATAGTTGAACTATGCTAAATTATAGCTTTCATGAAACTATATTCAAATAATTAAATTATTATAATAATATGTTGGTTATACATAACATGCAGGTACAAATGTAATTCTTAGTATTTTTCTTATAAAATGTATTTAGTGTCGCTAACAACTGGTGGCTAATTTTAATCAAAATAAAAATGCTTGAGTAGAAATCCATTGATAGAAATTTCATCAAATATTTGAATAAAGTTAATGAGTCAAAAAAATGAAAAATGTATCGGACAATATTGTCATTTTGTTTGTTATTATGAGTGTCATTTATGCTTATGCAAGTTACAATGTATTTATATTTAAACTATAAATGTATTTTGGATATAAACTCTTTTTAAATGTAATTTAATATATTAATAAAATTCTAGTCAAAGATTTGATATTTACTAATATTAAACATTTTTTCAATAAAATATGTTCATAAATATATATTATATATTAATGGTTTGTTAGTAATTATTGGAACATAGTAAGACAACCCCAAGACTTAATACCATCAAAAAATGTAAATGAAAATACTTTACCAACAATTTTAAACAGCCAGTATTTCAATTAATAGGTATTGTTTGTTTGGAATATGTGTGGAGAACAGTTATAAGGAAAGATAAAAGCCTTTTATTTTGTGACTCATGACATTCTACAGTCATAAGCATGAGCTCATAATATTCAAATAAATTATACATCCAAAAACATTTGCAAATGCATAACCAAAATGTTAAAAAAGATCTTAAAATAATTAATTAAAACAATTGCATGCGACCATTATTAATGATGTGGCATCTTGTACATCCTGTATTCCTGTAATTGCTAGTTAAAATAGAAGTCTAACATAAAATATAAAAGGGGTATTTAGAGATAGATTTGTAGTGTTAAAGTCTAAGCACATCTTCACAAAAGACAATATTAAATAATTTGGAGTGTTCATTAAGTTTTAACCATCAATAAAATTTAATTACTTAACAAATTAACTATTCTATATTTCTATTTCTTTTTTAATACATTAAAGATCTAAGTGATTAATACTGTAGTTCTGTGCATTAAGTAATTTTCTTTATAAAATCATATTATTAAGATGTATTGCTGCAATTATCAACACTTCATTTTTTTTCATTGTTTCAGTTTGTTGAAATGTCCGCCATCTAGAGACATAGAAATAAATGTTATGGTTGCAAATTTTCAAGATCGATTTAGAATTCCTTGGCAGGGTGGAGCAAGGCGTATTTCTTTAGATTCTGCAGTGCCATTACTTCTCTTTCCGGCCTCTCTTTATTTTGCTGCCCTGGGGTTTTGGCCAACCATATTAATGTTTCCGTTGGTTACATTGTTTCTCTATTACACTCATTGTACTGTCCGCAAGTACAGAGTGGCCACAAAATTCTTTTATGTTTGGACATTAACATCGGCATTATTAGTGTTAATTGTATTCCAGTTTCTGGTTGTGCCCATGTTAGATATAAACACTAATGAGAACATCATAATTACAGTCACTATGGTAGCCACTGCGGCTTGTTTCTATTTTACCAAGAAACACGCAATCAAATCTCATCTGAAATATGATCTAGAAATGACAAATGTCAATGACACAGATGAAAACATAGTCTTAATTAATGAAACTGAAAATATTCAATGCAATACTTGTAAAAGGGATGTACCATCCAGAACATATCACTGTTTTGTGTGTAAGACCTGCGTGATCCAACAACACATACATTCTTATTGGTATGATTTTGAGTCCTACAGATTTATGTAAATCATAAAGAAATAGAATCATAATAATATTTTATTTGTTCATACAGGATAGACTGTTGCATTGGAAAGCATAATAGGAAACCATATATGGCTGGTCTGGTACTTGGTTCAGTTTTGTTTACATTCTTATCAAATCTCATCCTAACTACACTGTGTCATCCTTTCAATGTTTTTGCAACAATCATGTTACCCGATGACTGTAGTGATGTTTATTATGACATCATGTAAGATAATTATAAATATTTTATTCTATATTATATCTATCATTATACATTTTGATTCATTACAATTTATTCATGTATACATTTTTAAAATAATTATTAAAAAGATAACTCTTTGAACAAAAATTAAAAACCCTTTTTTAAGGGTTAATTTATTTATAATAATTTTAAAAAATATAAAATATTTTTACGCTTAACCGTGTAATTTCTTATATTACATTTGCAATTTTGTAAAAATTTCTTTGGGTTTTACTAGTTTTATCCTTGAATTTAATATAGTTTTTTATATTATTTTCAGTAAATAGTCAATGATACATTTTTAATCAATATTATTTTACTTATTAATTAAATTTTTTGAATGAATAATGTAATATATAGTGGTGGAAATAGATAATTTATATCAAAATGAATATAATATGTTTGAGATCAAACACAGTATGCATGACTTAATATTTGTATTTTGTTTTTTCTAGGTATGGTATTTGTTTTGTATCTGGGCTGTATTGTTTTGCAGTCGGAATAATTTTGTTTTTAATGTTTATCAATGACATCTATATGGTTTCATTAGGAATAACTCATCATGAGTGGCAAGAACAATGTAAAGATTTTAAAGGTGATTGCCGTTGGTTCCTATCTAGGCACGTTATTAGGAATGTATTACCAAACTGGAGAGCATTTTTCAATAATGTCTGAACTCTGAATACAACATGTTTTTATTTTCATATTTATATATTTTTAAAGGTTTATTGTATTTTAATAAATGTATACAATTTAATAAATAAATAGTAATACTGTTTACTATTAATTGTTAGGCACAAAAAAATGTATGTCATTCATTTATAAATTTATACAATTTGATAAATCTGTTATAAATTATAATTCAAATGCTGGAGGAATAAAGTCTGGTAAAATTTCTTGAACCTTTTCATGCCACAAACGTAGTCGACAGTCTTTGAGCCTTTCCTTGTACATTATTTCTGGAAATTTTCTCCAATTTTCAAAACAGCACTTCATTATTATCCTGCAATCATATTCCAATTAGTCAACTATTTAACAATTATTAAAGCTTTAATTTTAAATTAATTTCTATTCTATTTATATTAAATATTATTTTATATTTTATCCTAAGAATGTTATGTTAATGTACTTAGGATTTTAGATTTCTATATCACTATGTAATATTGTTAATTTGTTTATTTAGAATAACATAAGGCTTATACAGTCAGTTTCAGGTTAAGAATTCTACTGTTTAAAATTTTAGATTAAAGTTGAGTTTTGATGACTCCTTATTGACAAGATAATTTTCAAAAATGTCATCTAGTAATTGGATCCTGTACAAAGAACTTGTGGAGAACTAAATGCCTACAATCTACAGTTCCTATAATGTCTTACTATCTTAAACTATATACCTATTATACTTTAATAATTTAAAGTGTTCTTGTATGAATATCTCTAGATTTTATAAAATATTATTACTTGTTGTGATAAGATTCTGCTTTCAACATTTTTTTTTGTGTCTGAACTCTAATTTCTCTAACATAATCAAGCCATATTTTAAACCAATATTCTTCCATCTTTAAATTTCGCCAATCCTCGGCTACTTGTTGTTTCCTTTTACTTTCTTCTAAAATCTAAAAATAAATGATTGCGTAAACGCATCAATTAATCACTTGTTAAAATTGTAATAACTTAATTAGGTACCTATATCATTGATTTTCATATGACATTAAAGTACCTAATTAGATTCACCACATAAATGGTTTATTATTATGTATATTACTTACACCTAAATGCAGTGTAAAATAATACGACTATATTATATCAGAAATATGTGACCAGCGCGGTCGCACATTACCGAATACACAAGTTTATTTTAGGTACCTCGTAAAACCCGAGAAATGTGGTTTTCAACAATTTCCGCTTGTAAAACTGTTCTGCCAAAAGAATTTTCTCGTTCAGACTGTTGTTGACGTAAAACCGCCATTTGCTGAAGCAAGTTCCGACCAGTCGTCTGTCATAGTGATCCGAAGCCTCTTCCGCCCGCCATCTGGCACAGTTTAAATTCGCACTGAACGCTTCGAGTCCTCTCCTCATCAACAGTTTACGGTACAAATCGTCTGCGATCCGAACGTTTTCCCTCTGCGCTTCTCTTTCCGCCTTTCGCCTGCTCTCCTCGATCGCCCTCAGTCTCAGGTTTTCCCTGGCCACAAGCAACCGCTCGCGTTTCTGCTCCATCCGTTCCCTGGTGCACTTCTCCTCCAGCTCGAGTTTTTTTCGAAACTCTTCCTGTTCCGCCTTCCGGCGCCGCTCTTTGATCGCCTCCCATTTGGCACGGCGTTCCAGTGCCCGCAATTCCATCCGGTTCAGTATGTCGGACGGACTCGCCGCCGTGGCGGTGCCCTGCAGCTGTTGCACTGCCGGCGCGTTTTTGGGTTTCAACCTCCTCTCAGACCCGCCGGCGTGCAGGTTTTGCAATATCCTCTGGTTCTCGAGCAACGCCTTCTCAGATTCCAATTTCAGTTGTTGCAACCTCAGGCTTTCGATTTCTTTCCGTTGCTTGTCGAGCAATTTTTTCTGTTCGTCGATTTTCGCCTGCTGACGATCGCCACTGCTGACGGTCCGCTTCTTCGGCACCGCGCGGTTCCACGACTGCCCGTTACTATTGTTACCGGGCGACTTGTTTTTCCGCCGTCCATTGTCGTCGATGTCCAATTTCTCTTGGATTTTCGACAAAAACCTGTCGACTTTATCGTCCGTCCCTGCAGCCCGGCCGCTGGACGCTTTCGACTTTGCTGCGACGTCCCGCCACCTGTCCCAGTAAATCCTCTGCAGCAGACGCGGCGCCGAAGCTTCCGGTCCGCTTTTGTCACCCGCCGCCGCCGCCTTGTCTCGACGGCTGCGACCCGTAGACGTACGATCGGGTTTGTCGTCGTCAGAGTTGTACTCGAATATCGTGGCCGGTTCAACTCCACGATCGTCGTTTTTATAGTAATTGACGTGATTGTTTACGATGTTGACATTCAACTGTCGTACGTTAATGACGGTGAAATTGTTGACGACAGCTCCGATTCTTGCATCGGACGACGAATCGCGGCAGATATCCAAGACTCCATCCACAGCCCCCGCGATTTCGCAGCGAAACTCGTCTTTGTCGTCTTGCTGCAGTACACGCTGATCGGCAATCGACGATATTCCTCGGACGCGGTTCGATTTTTTCCTGCGCGCATGCCTATCGTGTGCAATTAATACATCATAAGAAAATTAATTAACAGCTTGAAAACAATGAAATACACATGGTATAGGTAGGTATTATAGATGTACTTGCAGAGATTTGAGTTCTGCAAAAAGGCCTTTATTGTACATCGTTTATTTATTTATCACTTCATAATCATTATTGTGTTAAAATAAACAGACAGCCTGTGGGTGATTTATTGAATAGATACAGATAACCGAATGATCCATTTAACGTTAGAAACTCGAATCCTATTAACGGTTTTGAAACTATTTTCTTTTATATAATTTTAGGTCGTTAAAAAACAAAAATTGTCTAAAAATAATACGTTACTATCATTTAAAAAAAAATGTAATGACAACATGCATTTCTTATTTCTAATTCCTTTATTGCATAAAAATCAAATGTTTGATAAGTAGCTTAGCCTATTAGCTGTAAGTGTTTAAAATGTAGACTAGAGGAGTGAAATGGTAAGGGTACTCCGCGAATTGTTTGTCCACTACTCCACTCATCAGAGTCTCATCTAAACTTTAAATACTAATAAACTTCTTATCAGCAATTTAATTTTGGTAGATAGAATGTATGTTAGTATGTTACATTAAAAAGAGTACCTAATAAACTTAAAAAATTAGAATAATAAAAAAATAGCTAAAATTATTATTATTATTTTCCATAAATATTGTTTTGTAACGACGTACAATTATGTAGAAGAAATATGTTCATAAACGTTAATGATTTCTGAAATAAATTAGTTTATTACATTAAAATCATTAAATGAACCACTCCATCGATTATTTATTTTAATTAAATCTATTCGGTTGAAAGAAAATTAAAAATCGGACAAGCTTAAAAATGCCTAATATACTTAGATAAGGAGTGTCCGTGAAAAAGAAGCTTTCAACATTTATCTTTTCAGATATAGGTAATTATATGTATTATTGTACTAATACATATATATAATTTTTTAGCGGAAACTGGTGAACCTACAAGTGTATAACACTATTCCTATTAATTATTATATCATACACGGGTTGTTCGATGAAAAATGAAAACTTACTTGTTTATATCTGAAATCACCCTTTTACAGTCCCGTTTAATTAACCAACGATGTTCGTATTCTGTCTAAAATGTAATTGAAATAAATACAATCAATATTAGATAAACATACCAATCTACTATTTACCAAGCGTCTTTCGGAATTACTAACGATTCTATCCAATTGCCTTCTACTAACGATACTGTAATCTTCTAGACTCTTAGTAGAAAACTGTGCAACGTCCACTGCTAAGTTGCAGTACTGCAAATTCACGGCCTGATGATCGAAGTTGAACGTCATCTCAACATAATATAAAGTTCTCGAGCACAATATTATATGCATAAAATACAATTTAATATGACATACCCATATGACTTCAAAGAGGTATAGGTACAAACTATCTATTATTGTGCACTACCTACATGTCGTTTACATAGCTTTTTTACGTTTACCATAAGGTTTTGTTTACGCCTTTCATGCCGATGTATCGATAACACCGACGACTGCGTGTTGTACAATATTACACATTATAATAACAATAACAACAATTACACCGGACCCTATGATGTCGAACAAGTAAGAAAATGTTTACGTGTTACTGCCGCGATCGCTATGGCAACCTTAGGTACGACCATGATGTATAGGCGTATATTAATATATTATATAATATTATACTATCGTATGTGATTATATCACAGACTAGATTATTTATTATCACCCGTTAATATTACAAACAGTTTTGTTTTTATTGGCAAGAGTGTTTCAATGCCACCTTATTATTTTCTCTATTTAATCGCCAAACCCTCGATTATTAATCAAATAAAAGTATCATTATATTCTGCGTATACATATGGGTACATCAACCAATCGTACATATATTACAAACAATATGGTTTTTACTAAATATATTGCACCTTCGGATGTTAGGAGCTCAATAATTTGCAGTTAATAAAGAGCCAGAAGAAGAGGCCTAGTCCCGCTAGCCTCCCTGCAATTTGTGATGCCTATATGCCGATGGCTCATTCCCTTGAGGTGCTCGGTTGTGTGTATGTGTTAACCATATCGTAAGACACAACTATTCTACAACTTATAAGTTATCAATTAAACCTTGAGTTTAATTTGTTTTCTTTTGTCACGTTTCCATCTCGTGTTCATAATATAAACAAACAAACGTCTCGTCAAACGTAAATATTGATTTCAACAGAACGTAATACATATTTGTATGTATTATTTTTTCATCAAATATGAAACTGTATGTATGAAACATATGCTTCACGCATATTAAATTGTTCGATGATTGATTCGGGAGACACGTAAAATAGGCATTGCACAAATAATATCAGTCTAGACGTGCCGTGTTCCTATCGCAATAGTGACAAATATTATTTTTACGTAACACCTCACCTCCTCGTTTTTCTCGTTTGCAAGAGACGCGATGAAAAACACTTCGCACATAATTGGCAGGGACCATTCCCACGGAAATTCGGAAATGACCAGACATTTATAGGTTCTGGTCCGCCCAACTTATAGTATGTGGAAAACCGCTGTGACAGTGCCACCCTCCGAATTCGACAATCTGTCGGCAAATTACACCCCCGTCGTTTGAGTGCCCTCAGCACCGTTTGTAAACACTGCTTCGTGCACCGGCGTCGTGGTTTCAGGACCACTACCTTTGAAAAACTACGTACGGGTTATTCCAAAACGGTACTTGTTGGAACTCTGAAGCTGACTTATAGCTATGAATTTAGCTTGGAAGGAGAAAAAAATAAAACGGAATACCTATGATTAGTATTTGTGCGCAGTATATTTTATAAGCAGCAAGTTCATATTTGATTATGCATTTATGCACCATTGCATACTACATAGGTATTTACATAGCGGTTTATGATTGCATTACAATGCGCGGGTCAGATTACGTTTAGTAGCCTATCTACAACGCCGTGCGACCTTTAATTTACAATATATCTACATATTTTATAGAATACAAATTGGTTCAGTAGGTAGGTGGGTAGTTGTTTTTTTATTTTAGAATTAATCTAATAATAGATTGTACATTTTGACTAGATTCTTTTGTACACTAAATTAAAGCGAGTAAAACTAGTTAGATTCAGAAGGTTATAAGTAGGCTATATGTACCTATATTTTCATTGCCTACCCGCCTACATTTTCAACCAAGAATCCCATTTATTATAAACCGATGAACGATTATTGATTTTTCAAATTGCTATCATTATTGCCATAATCATTATACCTAACTATATTACTTTAATACAAAAAAAATAGGCTAGGCCCAGTCGCCCAGAAACAATGGTATATTATTATACGGGACCATATACAGTATAACAAGTTGGATAAAAATATATAGGTAATAGGTATAGTGTAATTGACGTATAATTTATAGGACGCACTAAAAGTGAAATTATTATAATATAGGGATCTCCAATGCAGTTATCGTTTCAAAACATTAAATTCAATTCAATCACTAAACGTCGGGAGATGGGGAGAATGGTAATATTAATGGTTCCTTTTTAATTTTAAAACAATAACTTCATATAGACATATAGTTATTCAGTTTATTGTTTATAAGATCACGATTTCTATAAAAGGCGATCGACGAATAAACAATGGCGCTTTCTTTACACAATTGTAGGTATTTTGGTACGATATACCTATACGAGGGGGGCTTCGTACAAAATTGCATCAGAAACATACTTGCAAAGTCGTCGTTGTTATTAACCTAACAATAGTAAATGATATTGCAGTTTGAAATATAACGTTTATTTATTATTTTGTTGTAAAAATTAAAAAAAAAATTAACTTCATTATTTAGGTGGGCCCCGTCGGCGTATACTAACTAAACGACCGTTAAATCCACCACTACGACCTTATTATGATTTATGATTCAGCAATATAATGCATGGCTTGTGCACAAGTCATAATTTTTTATGTAACATTTACAAAAAATATAGTTTTATGAATTTATTTTTCAACACATATGATATATAGTTATGTACCTATTATTATTATATATATACTACATAGGTATGCTGCGTCAATGTTTATAATCATACAGTATATTCAGTGTAATATTTTTTTACATACACAAAATTTAATATTTACAGTTTGCACGCATATATGCTATTAATTATTATTGTATACGATATAGGTGTTATAAAATATATAAATGTAAACATGTACGGCTATACCTATACCAACACCGACGACGACCAATATAAGTAATAACCTAATGTTTGTGAAAAAATAATAAGAATTTATGTAGGTACCTATGGATTTTTTCCATTTCAGAAAAATATTTAATATTTTAGTCGACTGGAATACCGATAAATATTTCGTTCCGTACGCACACATTGCAGCATACACGGACTTCAGACCGTGACCAATTATTATATATTGAAGTGCGTGTCGTAATGAAGTTCCAAGCACATTTTTTACTGTGTTTAACAGTAAATCTAAAATCATATTATTTATTGTTGTACATTGCAGGACGAAAAAAATTCAAACGGCAAAAGTAATAACAATGACATAACATTTGGTATAATTGTACATGTTACGCGCATCTCACCATCGCCACTTCATATCATATATTATTGATAATATCGACAATCATCAAATTATTGAACATATACCACTCATCGGTGTACCTAACTCTCGATAGTTTTACACTTTCAAGCGGCAACACATCAGCAGTAATTAATATATTTTAATATACAGGTACCCATATTAACATTTTATATTTTGTACATTTATACGATCCGCGGTGTTTACACCATTATTACATTCGGACAAACAGAAAGAAAACATTATTTAGGTTTACACGAAATATAATATATATGTAAATCGTCGTCCGTCACATCCTCGACACATGCGGTGAATCACTCGCTTGCTGTACGTACATATATAGGTATATTACAACAATAGTCACGGAATACTGAGCACCGCGGATAACGAGAACATCGACCCTTTCGTTTAAATATTATGCGTGCGTACAGCTTATATACAGGATGTTTCGTATAAAGGAAAACATTAATTTAAATTTTTTTCCAAAGGTCATAAAGTTTTTGAAAACATAAGTATTTTACGTGATTTCGTAAGTATATTAATTACATAATAATATATTTTTTTTAAATATTTTTTCTATTTTATGTTGTCATAATTTTTCGAAGTTTGTACTTTTTTGAGTGATATCAATCACATCGATCATATAATATTAATTTTTAATTTTATATAAAGAAGTAGAATAATATTTTTCTTCCGATATTCCGATGTATAAAAATCGAATTTCAAACTGATGAGTTGTCAATTATTTTATATGTATTTAAAATTAAATTTAATGGAGTATTGGTAAGGATGTGTTTGGGGATTAGGGACAGCCCCTTACAGTCATTTCACCACCCTCCCAGAAAAAATAAAAATTTTAGTCCACTACTCCGCTTACTAAAAATTGAAATACTTATAAAGACATTATAAGAAATAGTAACTCGTTCAAAATTCGATTATTTGAAATAGAAACAAAAAGATAATTTTCTGTTCCTGAATACGAAATAAAAAATGTGTGTTGTCATTCAAAGAATTAACAAATGAAAAGATTAAAAATAGAAAAAATATACTTACTGTTTTTTTTTCAAAAATGTTGTTTTGTAATGACTCTGAATGATGTAAAAAAATATTTCAAAAAACATTCATACCTCCTCTTCTGGATAATTATAGTGTTTACTTGTATAACAATCACCTTGTATAATAATGTAAACGAGACGGCCTACGAATTACGATGGGAACCTGTGTAATGGAGACTTAAAACAATCGAAATACGATTTTCTTTGTGAACTGTGCTTATTATCATACGAGTGCACCTCTTATATATCTGTATATATTATTTCAATTATTATTGCGAGGCTTACGAAATTTAAAAAAAAACGAAATTAATATAAGATTATATATATGTATAGCCGTATATAGGAATATGTTCGTATAATACATTAGCGCAGCTCACCAGTATTTATTATTCACCATATTCGGTATATTACGAATTTAAGATGTATATATTCATAATATTATGTCTAAAAAATAATATAAGTGATAATACTATAAAGGTCAAAAGAAATAGAATAAACGAGTTTGGGGAAAGTTAGTCGGGTTGACTTATCGATATGCCTATACCTACTCTACTACTGTACGAAAAAAAAAATAAACGTTGGTAATATTATATTATTGGTCATTAGGTACGATAATATTATACTAAAGTATTTATAATCAATGTTAATAAATAATTTATAATTATTTTAAATACGGAAAATCGCATTCATGCAACATTATTAGGTATTTGATTTTTTGTAACAAACGAATATATATGAGTAGTGTATTATGTATTATATAAACAATAACTATATACGCGTTGTTAATTGTCATAATATAACTATATTTTAGGCTTCGACTGATTTTAGGAAGGCTACGATTAAAAAAATTAACCTTTGTCGAAATGTAATTTAATGTAAGCACACCATACTATTATTATAATGTGTTATATATTTATTGCAGAATAACAGTGAAATAATTTTTGAAGTAATTATGCATGCGTG